AAATATTGCAAAAAATGAAAACGTTAATCCTATACTTATTTGTGCACCAGCATCCGAGACAAAATCTGAACCTATTATTTTAAGTGTTTTTGCAACCTCATCAATATTTGTTGTACTATCTTTTTTATTTAATAGTCCCGTTATTCTCATTTGAGGAGTAATATTATGCATGAATCCAGATACATTCCAAGCATGAGGATTTAAGCCCTTAATATATTCTATAAATGAATTATTCAAATTTTCAAGTAATGTTCTAAATGTCGTGCTATTATTGCATTCATGGTTGTCTAAGTATTGAAAATGTGTTCTAAAAGAATCAAATTTTGACTTGTTTGGTGGCTTGGTGCTAACAAATAAATTATATCTGTCATATAGTATATCAAGATTTTTAAGCATTTTAAATATATAATCACCTACATCATTATTATTTACATATTGTTGGCAAACTTGAGGCATTGGTATTCTCGATACACCTTGAGCTTCATTATTTTTAATAAGCAACTCGTAGCATTCTTGTGTTGTATTACAATTACCCTTATGTTTGTCCACTAGCTCTTTTAACTTGTAAAAGAAATATTTACAAGATGCTTCTAAGTAAAAGCTTTCCTCTGATTCATTTTTTTCTTTTATATTATTTAAATATAAACCTAGTGCTATACAATCTTCTTGAAAACCTTGACCACCAATATTATAAGCCTTTATGTTATTCCTATAATCTAAGCACACCTTCGAATATTCAGTATAAAAATAATTAGTTTGCCATCGTCTATTCCATGAATTATTATAATCATTTCTACAATTGGGAAATATACCAGTAAAATCGAACTATGAATGAATTTGGAAATATATAAATTAAATTTTTAAAATGTATTTCATGCTTTGTTTTCAATGATATATATACTTTTTGTAAATTTTATAAAATAAAATGTTATTATAGTAGTATTAAACATACATCTTTTTTCTCAGTCGCTTGGTCACCCATGTTAAATTATATACATAAAAAAAGAAAAATAATTATTACATATTTTTCTATAGATTCAATTTATACGACTTAAAACATAATAAATAACATTGTAACAATATATATTAAATGTTAGAATTTATATGAATTAATAAAATGTACTCAAATATATATTATATATTAAAAAATATATATAATTTAAATGTGGAACTCATTATATATTCTTATATATATATACATATTTTCATCTAAATATATTATATGAAACATAGTTTTATAATATTGCAGTGAGATAATAATACCGATCGATTATATAAACTTTTATAACATACATATATTTTTTATTTTATAAAGAAGAATGTTACCCTCAACAATAAAGTAAACCAAATAAAATAATACAATCATTAATTATATTATAATATGTTTTTTTATATACATTTAATTTATTATATGAAATATATATAAATATATATAGTTATAAGAAAAATGCATATATTATTTAGTGCTGAATTATTTATTCTTTAGGATTATATACAAAATGCTGAAGATATATTTTCTGGCAAATTTTTTAACTACTTCCTAATAACAAATAATAAATTATTATATTTTTTTATCCTATACAATCTGAATAATAGATATACATATATAACATTTAATATATGTTAAAATGTTATAATATTACATTGATTTTTATATGAATATATTATATATAATAAATATAATATTTTAAGTATAATTATCTATATTAATCATCTTTTAATTACGATATTCTCCTATTATATATATATATATAGAGAGAGAGAGAGAGAATTAATATTATTATCATACATATATATAATTTTGTGTTTAACAATTATATATTTATTACATGTATGTAATATTTATAATTAATATATTTTAATATTAATCCCATCATATAATGTGACAAAAAAAAATGATATTTAATTGATATAAAACAATTATTTTTTCATTAAAAAATGAATTCAATTATTTCGTTCATTAGTGCTTATTCATAGTACTATATTGCTATATAACATTACTTGTAATTTTTCTCTTTTATTGTGCATTATTTCAGTTGATGTTATCCTTAATTTATGTGAAAATGTTGATTATTCTGAGGGGAATTAAATTATATATTATGTTTTATATTTTGTATTATTATTAGACGGTAATATATATATGCAATGCTTTATTATACATTCCGCTTACAATATAAGAAATAAATTTTTAATTTCTATTATACATAATTTTGCGTCAATAGTTTATATATTATGACTACTATTAAGTATGTATATACTAAAAACTAGATAACATTAGAAATAATATTACTTTAGTCTAAAATTTGATGAACATTTTTCAATTTATGTTTATTTAGAAAGTATAATATATTTAGTTTTAAACATTAAAAAAAAAGGATAAATAATTACTAAGATAAAACTGTAATGGCTCTGACATTCTTATCATTTAATTTTTACATTAATTAAGAATAACATAGTTTTCCATAATTTTATTTCTTAAACATATAATACATGTACCATTTATTGCAGGAATGATTAAGTGCTAAATTCATCATTCACATGGTTCTATATAAATATTAAGCTTTTTAATATTATAATATATATTAAAATATTTATTTAAATTTATTATAATCAAAAACATCACATGTATATAAATTAATTTAATATGATATCAAATGTTTAATATATAAAAGCTAAAACTATTTATATAAGACACTACTTCTAATTCATAATAAATAACTAAATCAGAAAATATAATATATATGCAAAAGGTAATATCTAAAATATTATTTTATTCCGATAATATACAATTCAAAAAGGTGCATTTAATGAATACATATATATAAACGTGATAAAATTATGCATAAAATAAGTAAATATATTTTCTTTTTTTATCTGCAATAAATTCTTTTATTATAATACAGTTGGTGATTCATATATAAGTTTTTGTTTTATTTAAAACTATAAGTTACATATGGATGATACATTTTTTATGAAATCAATTTAATGCTTTTTTGCATATTATACCTGTTCAGGATTGCGTGTAAATATTAAGAAATATATATTAAATTTTCAAATTAAAATTATAATATTTTTTCCATTTACACATTTTTATATTATATAATAATTATTTAAACTAAATCAGATAAAGTATATGTAATTTAATATATATGTCCTATTAAATCAATATAAAATAAATATATTTTATATCATATAACAATCAAGATTTATATAATAAATTTAATTTATAACTTATGTACCAAAAAAAAATTGGATATATATAATATATTTAAATAAATCTTGAAGAGTATTCATAGTTAAAGACATATTATATACACATAATGGATATTTTCTATATTATATTATATATCATAATCATATTTCTATAGCAATATCAATCTTGTTCGTGTTATGTTAGAGGTTTTCGTGAATTTTACGTTTCACTTTTATTATTCATTAATCGATGGTTAATTTACATTATTAATTATTACACAATAATATTCTATTATTTTACGCTGAATCCCAGCATACATACTGAATTGATTTTCAGAAATATATTAATACTTAATACGATTACTAAATTATGTAAAAATGAACTAAATATATATATTTTTTTATTTTGTCATAGGTGATGAATGATAATTTGCTTTAAAATATATTGATATATTTCATTTAAATATTTTGTACAATATTATATGTTAAATTTAGTAAAAATTTAAAAGCGCATGTCTTATAGTTCTTTTTAGGACTATATTATTTAATATTTTATTATAGAATTTACATTATTTTGAACATTTTTCTATTTTATAATAAATCATAGAACCTTTCTTCTTTTCAAATGCTATATTTAATAAAATTCATAGGGATATTTTAATCTTATACGGAATATTTATTTATTCTTTTCTTGCAAAAGTTTATTGAAAATATATTATAATTTAATTCCATTTATTTGTTTCTAATTAAAGATATCATCTATAATCTTTTAAAATTTATATATATCAAGAGTAATCACGTCCATTTTGAAATATACATATAATGTCAAATGATCTATTAATAATATATTAAGCCTTACAAATAATATTCAGCAGTTTCATATATTAGACACATGTAGAATATTAATTTTATAATGTAACATAATTCATATATTCATATATGATATTATATATTTCGTTTAACATCCCAGGGTGAAACTAAAATATATACCAATTTATTATTTGTATATATAAATTATAAATATTAGCAAGAGCATAATATTAGAAAGAAATTTAAACAAAATATTACATACAATAAAACAAAAAAAAGTGAACAAATAAACATTATATCATATTTTAAGCACTTTCATATATTAACATGAAATTTTTCCCAATCAAATGAATATTTTATTTGAAAAAATATGAGTTTATTTAATTATAAGTATTATAATACAATATATATATTAAAAAAAATGATTAGTATATGTGAGAAAAGTGTAAAAGTATTCTTTTCATTAATATTACTAAATAAAAACTATTTTGGAATATATAAAAATAATTTATTTTAATTTTAAGCATTATAGAAGTTTGCTGCTTTGGCATAAATTACTATATTTCCCTAATCAGAGTATTTTTACTAGGGTTAAAAATATACATTTTGATTAAAATTCTATTATTCCTGCAGTATATAAAATGAAACAAGACAATGACTCTAATTAATGATAGAATTTTTATTATATTTACCTATGGTATACAATATATATTTCATTATTATATTATCCATATGAAAGAATAACTCATAAAATTAGAAAATTAATGCTTAATTATACAATAAATGTTTCATTCTTGTGACGTTATCTATTATAACATACTATATACAACTTCTTTACATAGTGTTTTACTTATTATAAATGTATATTTTTTATAATTATATATTTAATACTAGTCATAATAAGATTATATAATACACTATATTTCCTTTTTTCTGATGTAGTTATGTAAATTTTTGAGTGTTGTAAAACATTATTGTCCATGTTTATATTTTTATAGCTTTTTGATTTTTCTTATTTTTTTCTATCGTAAATGAGAAACACATGAAGTGAACTAATTCAAAATTAATATAGATATATAAATAATATATTTTTTATTATAATATATGTTACAAATGGCTTAGAATAATTATTTTATAGTATAATAAAGTATAAATTATATTATGAGCATCTTATAAAGAATAACTAAGAAAATTATTGCTTCTATGATTATAACAAATGAAATTAATATAAAAGCCTTTTTATTATGTATTTAGAATGAAAGTAATATTTGGAATTCAAGATTACTACAACCTCATGATTTTATTTTATCATTATATCGATTTTATAATTTTCTAATTCATTACAAAAATCATTATATTTATTTTTTTTTTTTTACAATGTACCTTGTATTTTATGTATTTATTTGTACATTCTTCTAATGAATCACAGATAATTTCAGTATTTTCAAGTTTAATATTCATGTAATCTATAATTTTGAGTTTTTTCAAAATTTCATCAGTAATATTAGTTTTCTTATAATCATTACACGCTGCATCAATGCTATCCTTATATATCTGTATCAAATTCTCATATATATTTTTGGATTAAATTTTATTATGATTTTTCTTGTAATAATGATATCTTCAATAATACAAGAATATACAACGTTTCTCTTGAATGTTTGGAATAATATGCATACTAACTATATCTTATAAATTTGAGATGACTTTAATGCATATATCATCATCATTCGATATAAAGTCTTTTTAACCATTTACTTTTTCATTTTCGCAATATTCATTGAACAAACTACTGAATTTTTTTTCTGTTTTTTCTATAATTATTTATATGCCTAAAAATCCTTTACGAAATCATATTAATGAAAAAAAAGATAATATCATGAAAAAATTATATTCAGTTAAACATATTCTCTCAACATTAATAGAAAATGATATACATAAGCAACCTAACATTTTATTCAATATTATAATAAATCAAAT